GGGAGGCTGTTCCACTTTGCAACATGGCCAACCTGGCTCCTCGGGGATCCCTGCTTTGTGGATTGGGATGCTCTCCCTGGATCCCTGCTTTGCAACATGGCCAACAAGATCGCCTCCCTCCCAGGGATCCATCCCTGCTTTGTGGATTTGGGGTGCCCTTGCACTTGGCAACATGGTCCCCTTGGACCCTTTTCTCCCTCTGGATGGGATGCCTGGAGGCTTGGCGGCTTGGGTGCCCCAGAGGACGGAGTCGGCGATGCTTCTCGGGATTTTGGAGGCGGGTGTTGGGCGGAGACAGTGTAGCTGCTCCTCCTTGGGGCTGGCCCCTCGCCTGATGTAACTTCCGAGCCGCGATGCCACCGGGCCGGGAAACGAAACTGGAGCCGGACTGGACAGCATCCCTCCTTCTTTCTCCCTGGGGCTGCAGCTGCTGTTGCTGTGCTGTGCGCAGGACTCGAACTCAGAGGCGGTGCGCAAGTTCCCTGCAGACTGGGAGAGAACCCACTTGGGAGGCGATCTTGCAGGTAAAAGGGACAAGGAAAAGCCTTTGCCCGCCCAGTGGGTTGCTTGCTCGGGGTTGGGCATGTATACATTCCCACGTGCAAGAACACGGACACGCGTCGGGGCTTTGGCAGCACCCGGGTTAGTTCCGCTTTAAGCACGTGGGAAGAAGAAGCCGGGTTGGCCACCGGGGGGCTGGATCTGGTTGCCAGTTGGCCCCGGGTTGGAGAGAGAGAAAGAGAAAGAGAGAGTGGCTGACGCGTGTCCTTCAATTCAGACGACAAAGACACGCGTTTGGAGCTTTAGGGGAAAATCTCGAGGGGGGAGGTTGGAAAGAGCTTGAGAGGCTGGGAGATCAGGGTTCAAATCCCCGCTCAGCCCTGAAAACTCAGTGGGGTGGCCCTAGGCAAGTCACACTCTCTCAGCCTCAGAGGAAGTCGTTGTTGTGTGCCTTCATGTCGTTTCCAACTTATGGTCACCCTATCCTGGGGTTTTTCTTGGCAAGTTTCTTTAAAAGTTTTTCTTTTTGGTCATTGCCACCCTTTGAGGCTGAGAGAGTGTGACTTAGGAAGGCAAGTGGGGAAAAAAATCTGGCCAAGAAAACTCTAGGAGAGCATCGCCACAAGTTTTTTTTTTAAAGTAATATTATTCTTTTATTTTGCTGAACCTGAAATATAATGGCCATCAAAGAGGGTGAGCAGTTTGCAAAGGAGGACCAAGCACCAGAAAATGTAGGACATTCAAGGGAAAAATGTAGGACATTGCATGTGCCAAAAACACCCATATAAATGTAAATTCACGCTTCTTAGTCAGGCTCGAAATGGAGGACATTTTGGATTATGCCTCCTGGACAGAGGGTTGAAATGGAGGACATGTCCTGGAAAAGGAGGACCAAGTCTGGTCTCTCTCTCTCTCACACACATAAATCAGCTAAGTATTAACTATCATATATATAAAAAAAGAATAGAATGGGTAAACACATGTTGCCTTTAATTTTCTTTCATATACAACTCTTTCATAAATGAATGAAGTCTAGTTTTTTTGCTCCTAAATTTAACCCCCTTTAATTCTTCATAATGCACAATAATCCCTCCTAATTTATAATTTCTTATTGGTCCCATATATGTTTCGATCATGTATCTAATAGGGTCTGCCAGTTTAAATATCCTGTATATGGGAGTGATTTAAGCATTGGACTATGACTCCAGAGAGTAGGGTTCGAATCCCAGCTCAGCCATGAAACCCACTGGGTGACCTTATATATAGGGTATATATATTGATATATATAGGGTATATATATTGATTTGGCTCCTGTAATCGTGGCTGGTAACAACAAAAAGAGAGAGCCAGTGTGGTGTCGTGGTTCGAGTGTTGGACTATGACTCTGGAGACCAGGGTTCGAATCTCTGCTTGGCCATGGAAAGCCATTGGGTGACCTTGGGCAAGTCACAGTCTCTCAGCCTCAGAGGATGGCAAAGGCAAACCCCCTCTGAACAAATCTTGACAAGAAAAAGCCATCACCTTAGGGTCGCCAAAAGTCAGAAATGACTTGAAGGCCACAACAACAACAACAACTAATAATAATAATAATAATAATAATAATAATAATAATAATAGTTAAATTCTCACTGATTGGTTGAAACCCATTGTGGGAATCCTGGACAGATCATACTGATCCTTAGAGGAAGGCAATGGAAAACCTACTTTGATTAAATCTTGCCAAGATTTAACCCTCTGATAAAGATCAGGCTAAGAGAGCCAGCATGGTCTAGTATAGTTTGAGTGTTGGACTACGATTCTGGAGAACAGGGTTCGAATCCCAGCTTGGCCATGGGAAATCCATTGTGTGACTCTGGATGTGTCACACTCTCTCAGCCTCAGAGAATGGCCATGGCAAACCCCCTCTGCAGAAACCATGAGAGGTCCCCCTTAGGATTGCCATAAGTTGGAAATGACTTGAAGGCACACAACAACAACAACAATATGGTTCTGGAGAACAGGGTTCGAATCCTGGCTCGGCCATGGAAAACCTACTGGGTGACCCTGGGTGTGTCACACACTCTCAGCCTCAGGGGATGGCCATGACAAACCCCCTCTGAAGAAATCTTGCCAAGACAAACCCCTGATAGACTGGACCCCCATGAGTCAGAAATGACTTGAAGGCACACAACAACAACAACAAGGATCAGGATAATAAACATAAGAATAAACTGATTGGCTTTGGGGCAAAAGTCTTTTCTTTAGTTCCCCCTTTTGTTCTTATGCATGGAATGTGTGACTTTTTGTTGCTTTCCTAGCTCCAGGAATTGGAGGGTGGGGCAGTGTTGTTGTGGTTGTGGTTGTTGTTGTAATGTACCCTTGCTACCCTATCAGAGGGTTTTCATGGCCAGATTTGTTCAGAGGAGGTTAGCCCCTTGCCTTCCTTTGAGGCTGAGAGAGTGTGACTTCCCCAAGGTCACCCAGTGGGTTTGAAAGCGCAAGTGCAGTCCATTTGAATGCGCACAAAAACAACAAGGGTGTGTCAGACACACACAGGCTGTAGCTACACACAGATGCAAACTTGTATTTTATTCATTCATTCATTCATTCATTCATTCATTCATTCATTCATTATTTACTTGCTATGTCTGTTTGTAACCTTTGCATGATTTGTCAAATGATTGTATAGTGATCTAATGTGGGGATTTTCAATTGTTTTAAACACTTTATTGTGTAGGTGTGTAGTTTTGTCGTCTCTGGATGCGGCCTTGGGAGAAAGGCAACATAGAATTGAAATAAATTAATAAATCAATAAATCAATAAATTACTTTGCGACCACAACTGAGGAAAAAGAAATCCCTTTTGGGGGACTCCAACTCTCAGAATCCCCTAGCCTAGACAGATGCTGGGAGTTGGAGTCAGTCCCTCCAAAAAGAGAACTCCTTAAGGCCTGTTTGTGATGTGTGTGCGAGTGTGTGTTTGTGTCCTACTCTTGCTCAAGGTTTCTTGTTGGTACTTTGCACATCTGATGAAATTTGCGCTGCTGATCTGCTGCAGCTTTGTTGGCCGTAAAGCAATTTGTTCAGTCTTTGTTTTGTTTTCAAGTCCCAGAAGGCTTAGTCTTGTTGGGTTTTGTGTGTGTGTGTGTGTATGTGATACCTCTGGAACCTAGTGCAAATTCTGGATTGCCATCTGTTCAGGGATGGGCCGAATTGCCAGGTGTTGCTTTTCTTTTCAACCAGGTGCATAGCTTAGTTGATTTGTGGCACCATCAATTGCAAAGACTCATGTGACATTCGGAAGATTTCGTACAACTGATCATACAAGTGTTTTTTTAAAAATGCACACATTTGAATTATTATTGCTTTTAATTTTATTAGTACTTTTGCATAAGGAGGTGGAACGCATACATTGCAACTGTAAAATTCATTAAGCAGTTAACAAAAAACCCTACAATATTCGATGACGGTGGTGTGTGATGTATTGGTTTGAGTGTTGGGCTATGGCTCTTTGAGATCAGGGTTCGATTCCCGACTCAGCCATGAATCGATGACCTGGATGTGGATGACCAGGCCTCCCCAAGCCTTTTCATTTAGAGCAGGGGTAGGCAACCTTTCCCCTTTAAGGGCCGAGGGACTTCAGCTCCCAGAAGCCTCAACCATGTTGGCCAATAGTCCCATGCTGGCCAATAGCTCCTGGGATTCTGGGAGCTGAAGTCCCTCGGCCCTTAAAGGGTTTGAAAGGTTGCCTACCCCTGATTTAGAGGATTGGGGAAAATAACCCAGGTTTTTGGTTTAGGCCATTTAAATCACTGTGTTTTTTTTTTAAAAGTTTAAACCAATTTTGTTGTTGTTGTTTTGTATTAACGTCCAACGTGGCATAATAGTTTGAGCATTGGACTGCGACTCTGGACACCAGGGTTCAATTCCTGCTTGTCCATGAAACCCACTGGGTGACCTTGCACAAGTCACACTCTCTCAGCCTCAGGGGAAGGCAATGGCAAACCTCCTCTGAACAAACCTTGCCAAGAAAACCCCGAGAATAGGTTTGCCTTATTTTGCAGACTGCCAGAAATAGTGCAAATTGAATCCACTTTAACTGC